TGTTGCCACCACTGGACCACAATGACATCTGGCTGAAGCCCTGAGCTTTCAAAGATTGACATAGATTGTGTAGTCAATATGATAAAGGCTTTCAGTGTTCCGTCCACCCTTAAGCTACCTCCTGTTGTCACAGTGAAACAGACTCTTTGCTCATGTCAAAAACACCAATTTCAAGAGAAAGATGTGAACATATACTGGTGGAGAAGTCTGGGACTGGCCTCTCTTTCTCATTCCTCCTCCACCACAGCACTACTGAGATGTTTATTACTTTAATTTTCACCTGCTGACCTATAATAGTATAAATTTGGACTAAGCTGAATTTTACAGTTCAACAAATATAGAATGTTTTTTAAAGTCACACTTGGCCAGATGCAATGTCTGGAAAACATCAGTCCAAAATTTATCATAACTGAAATAAAATGAAAGCCTAATTTAGCCAGATTCAGCATTATTCAATGCAGGGGAAAGTACTGCTACCAAAGCCTCAATCTACTGGCCTTTTATGAATTTCCCTCTGCTGAAGACTATAAATTCTTGATCAGATGTTCTTTCCTGAGCTGTAAAATAGATTGAGTCAAGTTCAATCTGGCTAAGCAAAAGCAACAGTTACTGAAATCAGAGAGATTTAGAGAAACAGGGTTCTACAAATCAGCTGTCCTAGCACTCACAACTTGTCATATAAGAGCTGATAAAATCTTCAATACAAACGGTTATTTGGAAGATTAAATCTGAACCCTGTGGACACGGATCCTTCAAAAGCACGAAATTACTTGGAAAACTGAGGGGACACATTTTTCGTAGGTACTTAGGTAGTCACTTGTCTACCTCATTACACAGCTAAATACCTTTGAAAATGTAATCTTCAGTCAAGCTCTCAAAGGAGATGGCCAGGAGGTTTACAAAGTGCCTAGCTGTTTAGTTCACAGTAAAGTGGATGAGAGTTAAGGGTCTCATATAAAACCATGTCAATCTGCCTAACTAAGAAACACAGCCCCTAAGATCATGTGCCTTGTCAAAATCAGTAAGGACCTCTTGTAAGCTCTCAAAGCTACTCTTTGGCTTTCTGTGAGGTAGTCCCCAGGCAGCCAGCAGGAGTGCCTGATCACTGGGAACGAGGAGGGGAGACATGCCAAGCCTGAACCAGCCTCCAGACACAGCTGGGCTGTCAGAACAGAGGTCTGGCAACAGCAGGGAACAGACAGTCCATAAAAAACCTGACATTAAAATAGGCCAGTCCAGACCTTCAGAGAGACACTTCAGTCTTATCGGCACTGTTTAAAGAAAGCTGGGGGTTTGCTTAGACCATTTGAGAAGGTGTTTTTCTTTAAATAGCAACTTCGGATGAGAGCTGCCGCTTCCAATTTAATCATCCTTCTTTAATACAGCCTCGTGCTTTGCAGCTGGATAATTAACCTTGATATTCATTCGGACTTCAAAACACACAATTCCCATTGCTGTCAATTAGCTGACAATGTTGAGTATATGTTGATAGAAGATTTTTGTGTGACCCTGGCAATATGGCATTTGGGAAATTTCAGTCCTGCACAGCTAACTCTAACAATTTTAGAATGGGGAGTGACATTCACAGAATCTCAGAATGGTTAAGGTTGGAAGGGACCACTGGAGGTCAACTAGTCCAGCCTTCCCACTCAAGGAGGGTCTCCTGGAGCACTTTATTCAGGATTGTA